GGCGGCGGGCGTGAGCGCGGTGGCCGCGGCAGGAGCGGACGCGGGCGGCGCTGCTGGAGACGCTGCACGAGGAGCTGCACGCGCACAGCCAGGCCATGCTGGGGCTGGGCCCCGACGACGAGCGCGCCGACAACGGCGCGAGCGGCGCCGGCGGCAGCTTCTTCGAGTCCTTCAAGGTGAGCCCGGCTCCGCGGCCAGGGGCGGGGCCTCGGCGGCCTCGCCACGCCCCCCGGTGCGGGACACGCCCACCAGGGGGCGGGGCACGCCCCCTCCAGCCCCTGCTGCGCGGCTGGTGGGCCACGCCCCCGTCTCACTAACCACGCCCCTTTCCTCGTGCCACGCCCCTTCACTTGAGCCACGCCCCAACACCTGGAGCCACGCCCCCAGCTCACGCTCCCTGCGGCTGAGCCGGCCCGCTGGCCCCGCCCCCTTGCCCAGGCCCCGCCCCCTTGTGGCGAGCCCCGTCCCCGCGTGTCCCCCGGCGTGTCCGCGTGTCCCCGCGTGTCCCCCGGCGTGTCCCCGTGTCCCCGCGGGCGCTGACGGGCGCGGGGCGCTGCCTCGGCAGTCGCTGCTGGTGCCCGGGAGCCGGCGAGGCCGTCGCGGCAGCGCCATCGGCATCGGCACCGTGGAGGAGGTGGGTGCCGCGTGTCCCCTTCCCGCGCCGCCGCGTCCCCCCTGCATTGCGACCCCGTGTCCGCTGAGCCCTTGCTGTCCCCCTCGTCCTCCCAGGCCCTGCTGGTGCCCGGCAAGAGCCCCACGCGGAAGCGCCCGGGGCCGCTGGGCTCGCGCCGCAGCAGCGCCATCGGCATCGAGAACATCCAGGAGGTGCAGGAGCAGAGGTGGGTGCCGGGGCGCGGGGGGACGGCGCCCCCGCCGCCCTGCCCACCCGCCGCATCCCCCGCCAGGGACAGCCCGCCCGGCGCCCCRGCCCCCGCGCCGCCCACCTCGCACACCTCGTCCGCACAGAGCTCGCCCGAGATGCCCACGGCCAGGAACAGGTTGGGGCGGAGGGACCTGGTGGCACTTGGATGGGGTGGCACAAGGTGGCGTGGAGACACAGGAGCGCAGGGATGAGGTGGTCCAGGGACAGGGTGGCACGGTGGCTCTGTCACTGAGGGATGGGGTGGCATTCGGCTGGGGTGACACAGGGAAGGGCTGGCATGGGATCAGGGTGGCATGGTGATGTGGATCCGTGGGGTTGGGTGACACGAGGGGCAGGGTGTCACCAGAGCATGGCATCATAGGGACAGGGTGACGTGGCAATCAGGGTGGCATGGGAGTGTGGTACCATGGGGATGAGGTGGCACTTGGACCAGGTGGCACAAGGTGCCCTGGAGACATAGGAGCACGGGGATGGGGAGGTCCAGGGACAGGGTGGCACGAGCGCCCGTCATCAACGGGCCGAGGTCACACAGGGACGTGGTGGGATGGGGCGGCACTCGGACCAGGGCCGCGGTAGCAGCGACACGGTGGGTGGCCATGGGGCGGCCGGGCAGCAGCGCGGCACGGGGACCGGGTGACAGCAGGGGGACCGTGACGCCGGGGTGGCCAGTGCCCTGCGGGGCCCGGGTGGCCCAGGGGACAGGGTGCCGCGTGTCCCTGCGCAGGGCCGAGAAGCCGGAGCCGCCGCGGGATTTCTCCCGCTCGTCGTCCAGCGCCAGCAGCTTCGGCAGCGTGGCCGAGGAGCCCGAGGAGGCGGCCGAGGCGGTAGGCGGTGGCGGGAGGGCCGGGGACCCCGGGGGGACACCCGTGTCACCGTGCGCACCGCGCAGGGGCCGCCGCGCCACCGCGACGCCTTCGCCTACAGCACCTGGCTGGACGACAGCCTGAGCACGACCAGCAGCGGCAGCTCCCCCGGTACCGCGCCGTGGGGCGGGGGGGACGCGGCGCCGCGGGGGGGACACCCGCGTCACCGCGGGGTCCCCTCACCACCGTCGTTGTCCCCGCAGGCGCCTCGCGCTCGCCCCGGCCGCCCCCCGAGCCCGCCTGCCCCGAGATCAAGATCCAGCTGGAGCAGCCGCCGCGGCGGCCGCCGGACACGGTGAGCACGGGACAGGGCGGCGGGGACAGGGGGACACGGTGCTGGGGACAGGGGGACGCGGCGGTGCCGTCCTGCTGACCCCCCCACCTCCGCACAGGGCTCCTAGCCTTCCTCGACGGGGGGCTGGGACCCCCCTTTCGGCCGCCCCCCTCCTCGCACGCCGCCCCCTCGCCAGGACACGAAGCCATCGCCGCCGGTGCCGGTCCCCCCTTCCCGCATCCCGGCTGCGTTTCGGGGTCCCCCCATCCCCGGGGCCGCGGCTGCTGTCAGACAATCTCCCCTGCCCGCACCAAAACCCTCCAGTTCCCCCCCAAAATGGGCGCCGTGGCCCTTCCTCCTCCTCCTTTTCCTCCCAGTCGCTCCGGTGTTCCCAGCCCGGCAGGGCCGCGTTGCTTCTGCCGGTGCTCGATGTATAAAATAAAGGTCTATTTATTGCTACCATACGGCGCAGGCGGCACCCTTGGGTGCCCCCCCTTCCCCGCGGGCAGCTCCGGGCGCCGCCAAAAATAAAATGAAACCCCCCCAAAAGCCCCAATCCCTCTCTTTGCGCTCCAGCAGCCGCAGCTAAAGCGGGAGCCGAGGTTTGGCTGCCGGCGCTGCGGTCGGTGGCCCTGGGGACACCCTGGGGMCGCCGCGATGCGGCCGGCGGTGGCGCCCCGGCGGGAGGAGGAGGCCGCGGAGCGGAGGGGAGGGTCTCTTGCCGGGAAGGCCGGGACATGAGGATGAGCGCGGGAACGCCGGGAATGGAGGCGAGCGCGCCCGGCGTCGCAGAAAAAGGCCTTGCCAGCCCCTTCCTGACGCCGGGACGGAGCAGGGAAGCGGCTGCGGGTGCCACGGAGGGTCTGGAGCGGGAGCTGCGGTGGCCACGGAGGGTCTGGAGCAGGAGCCGCGGGCGCGCGGCGGGCAGGGGGCTCGCGGCAAGCAGGGGAGCTGCGGGTGCCCGGGGCTGTTGGCACGCACCGGGAGCAAACAGACTCATGGGTTTTGCACGTGCGGGGCCCTGGGCAAACGGGCTGGGAGCACATTGCTCTGTGCACAGGGACGCGGGAACGGGAGGAGCGCGCGGGGCCGGATCCGTCCCCCTGCGGCGGCCGTGCTCGTTCGCACTCCCCTCCACAGGGCGAGCGCGCGGGGGCCTTTCGGGAATATTCTCCTCCGGTTTCCCCTCCCTGTGTTTCGTTGGGGCGCGCAGCGAGGCTCGTGCTAGGGGAGGCCGAGTGTATTTCCAGG